GACAGCCTTCGTAAATATACATAGCCATCTGATATAGACATAGCCTTCTAAATAGACAGCCTTCGTAAATATACATAGCCATCTGATATAGACATAGCCTTCTAAATTAGACAAGGCTATGCAATAGACTGAAAAGTTCTGTCTCAAAATAAAAGCCCAAAACAGACCTGCGTTGCCACCGATTTTACTAAAATCTAATACTCTAAAACAAAAACAAACAGACGTGGCCACAGTCTGCGCCACTGTTGCTGGTACGCCCGTAGTCACTGTGTCAAATGAAACTATAGCCCTAAAATCCTAAAACTCTAAACAACAATATCAGTCAGAGCCCACAGCCATGGCTTGACATCGCACCTCCGCATGCGGTTGGGCACTAGTGCGTCTGGGGCGGACAACTGCTGTTCTATTTTTAGATGCGCTTCTATTTTTAGACACGCACGCAATGCCGAGCATAGTAGTAGGTAGATCTCCATTAACAACTCTGGTCAATAGCACAAGATACTACAAACAAACCCTAAAATATCGAACCTTGAACCCTAAATTGTGGGCCGTACAGGACACGCCTGTCCCGTGTCCTGTCCTGTTTTTGTAGGGCAGGTGCACACACCTTGATGTTGACCCCTTCGCGGCCACTGTGCCACTTCCACAGAAACGATCCAAAGTCATCGTGACGCCATTTGTGTAGCACCTGCACCACCTACACACAGTAATACAACACAGCATCAACTAAAAACCCTAAACCCTAAAACCCTCAACAATACAACACAGCATCAACTGAATGAATACATAGACCATGGGATCATCTACATGTCACGTGTGTGCACATGAGATTGGTAGTTAAGGTTGTTACTTACGTGTGGACACGTGATTGATACGCACGTGTGTGTAGCTGGCACCTTATGCCATGCGAGTTCACTAGTCAAGGGACGAGTGCAGCGGATCATCATTTGAGGTGTGATGTGAGAGAGCACTACACCCGCATGCACATTTGCACACACAACCACGTAGTGTATCTGCATCTGTGCCTCTCTCTAACAGGGTACTCAAAGTATAAAGGTACTTACGGTATAGATATAGACATACTTACAGTATAGATATGCACATAATATAAGTATAGACATACTTACAGTATAGATATACACAGAGTAGAGACACGCTGTACCCTCATTCACTCATGCACGTGTACATCCATGTGCATGTACACACGTGTGTGTGTATACTCGTGTGTGTGCGCATACCTTCTCTCGGTGTTTATCATCCACCAGAAGGTCGTTGTCCAGATGCCACGGAATGGGACCGTGGTGACGGTATGAGCCCAACAGCGACCCCCACCACACGAAAGAATCTATGGCATTCTGCTCTAACTTCTGCACGACACTACGGAGAGAGAGTGGGCATGCATGTGATTGGTAGAAGATAGTTGAGATACGTGACAGTGTGTGAGGAGTAGAAGAGTTATAGCTCGTATGTACATGTATACGAGTATGAGTATGTGTGTATGTATGTGTATATGTATATGTGTATGTCTGTTCATATGCATTTGTATTTGTATTTGTATATGTATATATGTATGTCTGTTCATAGAGATTTGTATTTGTATACGTATGTGTATATGTATACGTGTAAGTCTGTTCATATACATTTGTATTTGTATGTATATATATATATATATATATATGTCTGTTTATATACATTTGTATTTGTATACGCATGTGCATATGTATATGCCTGTTCATATACATTTGTATTTGTATTTGTATATGTATATATGTATGTCTGTTCATATAAATTTGTAATTGTATACGTATGTGTATATATATACGTGTAAGTCTGTTCATATACATTTGTATTTGTATTTGTATTTGTATATGTATATGTATATGTATATGTATATATGCATGTCAGTTCATATACATCTGTATTTGTATATGGATGTGTATGTGTATATAGTATGTCAGTTCATGTACATGTGCATATGTCTGTTCATGTATCTGAGCATGTGTACGTGTTCGTGCATACCCGTATATTCCTCACGTGTGTGTTGTGTGTGCGTTCATCCTACCTGTGCAGTAGTGTGTATATTTGTGCGTGTGTGTTTGTGTTGTGTGTTATTACATCTTACCTACCTGTGTAGTAGGCACGTGTGGGCAAATGCCTCGTCGGTGGTCATGAGAGTCAGTTCGTCCGAGTGCACAGGAAAGTACGATACCTGCGCAAAGTGACGGGCAGCACTCTCACACACACGCCGAGTGTCTATTAATAGAATCAGGAGCAAGAAACCACGTGGTCAGTACACGTGGTACAAATACTGTTTTTAAAAGTGACGGGCAGCACACTCTCACACACACCGAGCGTCTATTAATAGAATCAGGAGAAAGCAACCACGTGGTCAGTACACGTGGTACAAACACTGTGTTTAAAAGTGATGGGCCACTCTCTCACATACACCGAGCGACTATTAATAGAATCAGGAGCAAGAAACCACGTGGTCAGTACACGT